AAACACCCCCAGTGCAGCCGAAAACAGGGGGCTCAGGCCAGCTCTGCGAGCAGGCAAGCACCCCTTGCCTTTAGCCACTAAGTGAACATAACAAGCAAAGAAACTTGACACTGTAGCCGGCAGGAGCCAGCATTTGGGAGCTGTCAGACGTGATGTCTCAGAGACCTGGATCTGAAAGCCCGTCCCCCTGTACAGCTTGAGATATTTAATAAAGTAAAGCCCTCAGGATCAAGGGGCTGGAGCCCTCCCATTCCTTTCTGCAGCTCACACGAAGTGCTTTCAAGCCTGCCTCTAGTCTGTCTCTCTCTCCAGAAAGCCTTTCATGCCGCCTTGCCAGACTGACATTTTGACAAGTTGCCACGAGTGACATCTGATTTGTACAAATTTCAAGACTAATAAATCTACCTGTCAAAGCGGAAACTTTAAAAGGAGCTAAGCCCAGCGGGTATAGTTTAACAGAACTCAAGTTGATGAAACTGTAGGATGGAGAAATTATATCTGTCACAATCCACCCACATTAGTTCTGCAGAAATGTTGGCAACTGAAACAAACGTCTTTCACGGGTGTTGCCAAAAAAAAAATTAAAAATAAAAAAAATTTTTTAATCCGAAAAAGAGATTGTTAATACCCCGAGTAACAAGTAACAGTTCTATTTGTAAACTAACAAATTTTATTTATTTAATTTTTAATTTCATTGCAGATGTTAGGAGGAGCTCTCCTCCTACCTCCTTAGCTGTCTCGCTAGAATCCAGACTTTCCGCTCAAGCTGGGGCCCGTCAATCACTCAGAGGCTCCCCCACTCCACAGTGAGAGGACGCAGGTCAGGCCGCAAAGCAGGACTCCTGCCCACAGCCCCATGTCCCAGGGCCCCTGTGGCACCCTGCTCCCAGAAAGGCATCCCCACAGCGCCTCAGCTCTCACCTGGAGCCCCAATCCTTGCCCATTCTGTGCACCTCTGTAGGATTTTTGTGGTGAATGTCATGGAGACATTGAGGGTGGGGCAGGCGACCAAAGGGAGAATTTCTAATCCTGGTGAAGTTTTTATCTGACTTTTATCTTATCTTCTCTTCCTGTCTCTGAGAGGTGAAAAGCCCACTTTGGTTCATTCCTCCTGTCAGTAATGTTGGGGAAGCCAGAAGTCACCAAGCAGAGGGAGAGGAGGGTGAGGCATTCCGTACACTCAGAAAATTAAGCAATGGTACAAAGTCTGAAAAAACCCTCCCCCACCCCGCCCGCCCGGTGCCACCCCAAAGTCAGGAGGAGAACACAGCCACAGTCACCTGCTGAAGAAGGGCTCCCGGGGCCCCTGGAGGTGAGCTGGTACAAGCCAGAACCTTCAAGGAAACACTGTTATTTCTATCGCCTTGGCTCCTGGGAGTTCCAAATGGGATTTCATTTGCCCTCTCACTCATGCAGTTAAGAAGTAAGCAGAAAGGGACAAAAAAAAATCTTTCTCCTCTTGCTCAGGGCACTCGAGATCACCAGCCAGCTGACTGTAAAACCTAGAGCTTCAGCTGAGATCACACAGTCTTTTCCCTCCCTCCCCACGTTTCCTCCCTCTACTTGGGGAGCTTCGGCTTAGTTTTTACTTGCCTAGAAGCTAACACCTTCTCTTCCATTTCCTGCAGTGCTCTAGGGACTCAGGATGTGCAAATGGTGTTAACAAGGGTAACACTGGGGATGGTGACAATGACTTGGGGAGGTGGGGGTGGTCTCCTATGACAGCTGAAAACAAGCCCAGAGACCCAGAGCAGCTGTCTCTTATGTTCAGGAGCACAATGCCAATCTCTCTGCAGCAAACACGGGTCACCACAGGCTCTGCCCAAGTCCACATTTTCTCCTGTCAATTAAACATTTGTTAGGCAGACTTCTTGTCCAAGACACCGTGCTCAATACCGTATGAATTACAGAGAAGTGTAAAACATGATCTTGTCCTAAAAGACTTCACAGTCCATATGGGGCGTTGAAACCGTGATATAAACAAGACAACAGGGAACAAAGTAGATCCTGGTGAAGAACAAAGTGAGTTCAAGCACAAAACAAAGGCCTGGTAACTGGATCCAGCCCTGCCGCCAAGTGGCCAGGGATCTCACCAAGATCAGTTTCTCTGTTAAATGAATGGGAGCCCAAGGAGGCCAAAGGCCTCTGCATTTTCTGTGAGTTTCTGAGAGAAGATGCTGGGAGGTTTTACACTCAAGAGAGTCTCAGAAACTACAAACAGCTTTACATTTGCTACATTTGCTAGTCATGGTTACTGTCGCCATGGGCTGGGTTGCAGGCCTGTCTTCCCCAGTGGACTCAAGTTAGGATCCAGCAAGGAACAGAGAGAGCTCACGAAGGACCAAAGCAGCAAAGACACAAGTAAGGCTCAGAAGCCAGAAGCTGGAACCTCATGCCAGGTGGGACTCAGCCACACCCTGAGCTGCCTCTGTCTCTGCCACCTGCAGGCGGAACTGCTGCTCCCAACAGCTCACCACCCTACAGGGAGCCTTGGGCTTCCCTGCTGCCTGTAGAAACAGGCAAACCAGCACAGCACACTGCAGAGGTGAAAACAGCAACAACCCCACAGGAAAGCTCGATATGCTTTCCCAGACAGGGCGGGGCAAAATCACAAATGAGACCCGCACATGGTACAAGCAGGAGACCCCCGGAAATCCATCAGCAGGACCCCATGTCCCCAGAAAGGCCACTGCCCCCAGGGACAGTCAGGGAACAGCAGGCTCACCCAGCTAGAACTCTGAGATCTGAAAGGCAGGCAGGGCTGTGGAGCAAGAGAGAGGGGCAGTTGGGCTGAGATATGCCAGAGGTCACATGGCAGACACATGTGGTGGAGCGGGGGACATGTTATCCTGGTAACAGGATTCAGCGTCTGGTGTGAGTCAGCCTTGTGCAGCCTCCAACACATTTGATTCACACTTGGGTCAAAGGAGCGATCTGTGGAGGTGGTTATCAGGAAATCAAAGCTCAGAGAGACTGGGTGTGTGACGCACAAACACATAGCCAGCAGCAGATATAGAAGATGCTGGATTGTGGTTTTCTTCAAGATGGTTACTTTTGATTTTTCTTTCCCTTTAGCAAGATGGTCCCTCCAGGGAAAGTGTCAATTATGGCAAATATGACCAATACAAAAACCGAAAGGTTTTTCCTAAAATAAATATTTCACTTTGTTATTGTTAATTGGACTGGCACTTACTAACCATCAAAGCTTCTCACCTTGCAAACTGGAGGTGTCTCCCTTATAGCAGGCACCACCCCACAAAGAAGTGAAGCAGTGAGCCAGGCCAGGCTGTAACAGAAGTGACAGAGGTGAGGCGCACAGGCTGAGGACACAGCCCACCCGCGGCCCTGGAGGCTGCGGGCCTGAGCAGCAGCCACTCTGCCGACGCCAGGCTTGGCATCTGACAACTCTCTCCCCAGTGCTGTTTCCTGAGCCCAGTGCCTTGTCTGGGGCCCATTACCCACTCCGCAGAACTGCAGTTAGAAAGGCCTGAGGCCCAGCTCTTTCTGCGGCCTCCAGGCAGCATTTTGGGTTTTGCAACCAAAGAGAAAAGAAAAAGGAAAAGGAAAAAAGAAATCTTGAACTGTTTTTCAAATGTTCTGGGTCTTGGCAAACCCCAAAATGCCTTTTGCCAAATGCTTTTTCCCTTAATTTTTAAACCTCGGGTGTATTTCCAGAACAATCCAATCCATCTGCTTCTGATTCATTTACACTTAACTCATTAGGAAGCTGTTGCGTAAGGAACAGTTTGACGTCCCCAAGATCCCGGGGAAGGGATTCTTCTTTCCCCCTTTGGATATGAGAGAGGCATCTTGCCAGCCAGGCATAGCGTGCAAACCCGAAAAAATAGAAAGCCTAGCTTGAACCCTCAAGGCCCCAAGAAGAGAATGGGCCTGTCTGGTGTCCCCGCCTGTCAGGTGCCCTGTGCTGCTCTCCCCTGTACATCATCTCACTATCTCTTCATTACTGTCATCAAGGGTTGTAATAAATGGCCTTGTGTGAGTGTCACAGGCTTTGCCTCATATTCCACACTGCAGACTCATCTGAAGAGGCATTCAACAAACACTCCTAGCCAGCAGAGAGCTTCCAGCAAGGACTTGGGATAGGGGACACAGGAAAGAGGACATGCATCTAAATGCTGGCACCTCCTCTTCTTCCCTTCTGCAATGACTGCGAGTTCCTGGAGAAAGCCTGAAAGAGGGAGGATTGGGCAGCAGGGTGGTTTCTAAGGACAGAAAGCAAGGCTGAGGACAGGAGGGAGCCCAGCCGGAGGACGAGAGGGAGAGGATGACAGAATCAGGCAGAAGCCATTGGCCAGCCCGCGCCACAGCTTCTGCGCTATCCCAGGATCTCTGCACCTCCCTCACCCTTTCCTGAAGAAGACACACTTTCCTCCCATCTCCCATATTTTTCATTTTCATTAGTCACAAACCCTTATTTGATTTTTTAAAACTACAAAATATATCTATTATATATTTGGCCCTACCATTTGCTGAGAAGTCAGGGGACTCATGGCAAAGTGGCCTTCCCTGGAGGACTCTGCAGCCCACCTGGGGACACATTGCCATCAGTCTCCCTCAAGATCCTCCCCCTCACTTGGAACTCAGGTATTCGATGGCCCTTGCCACTTTCTGAAGCAGCTCTGAATTCCTCTTTCATGAGTGTCTTTACAAGGTGTGAAAATTACAGTGAACGCTGCCATCGGGTGCCGTCCAATGGAAAGGCAGGCTCGTAAAAAGAAAATTACACTGTGTCCTCATCCACTTTATTCACTGGATCTGGCACCAGTGACTAGTTCTGGCTCTACCAGTCAAAATGACCATAAAAAAAAAAAAAAAAAATGTTTTCAGTCAATTCAGGACGTCAAGGCACCGGGACGATATAACCAAAGACGCTGATAAAGCAGACTTTCAGAATTGCTTCAGAAAGCGGCTCGGATAATAAGATAAGTGTGCTTGAAGGCAGGGGGAACATTGTGAGGGGAATGAATGGCAACAATGACTTTCACTGTTATAAATTCTTTTATTTAAACCTTCGTCGTGTTTTTTTCTATCACACCTTGTAAGAGCTGTCCACCAGGGAGAGATCTCACGGACAGGACCAATCGGGAACAACTTCCCGGAGACGCTGGTCCTCAAGGAGACAGGCCAGGAAGCCTACACGGGGCTAGACCTCGAGGAAGCCAGAGGAAGCCTCAGGAAAGAGCATAGCACGCTTGCAGGGCACATAGCTGTGTACAGGGATGGAAGAGCAGGCTGGCCTGCCTGCCCCCGGCAAGACTGAGTCACCAGACCCCAGAGGGCACGGGAGAGGGCGCAAGCAGGGGTGGAAGACGCACCGTCTGTGCCGATGTGCAGGGCTCCTGTGGGTGTGAGGACGGCGGAAGTCTGGCCAACAAGTCACCCACTGCCTCCCTCCTCAGGCAGGGACAGCGAGGAAGGGAAAAAGCAAACAAGGCAACCAGGCCAGGTGACTTGGTGTTGGAGGATCCTGCAGTAGGGGGAAGACAAGCCAAACAAAGGAGTGTGTCAGCCGAGGGCGGAATGTTTTCCACTACGAAGGTCAGTGTGTGCCACCCCTGTGCCCGGCACTCCCGCAGACCACCTCGGTGCTCGCTGTGGAAAGGTGAGGCAGGTGTGACTGTGGCTATGGGCTGCCTGTCCCTTCTGACACCTACCATTTAGTTGCCACTGTGAGAGCCATAAGAGGTGGGGTTTTAGGGGGTGATTAGTTCACGCACAGATTAACATCACTAGCACAAGGGTAGGTTCGTTCTCTCAGGAGCGAGCTCAGTGTAGAAGGATGAGTTCGGCTCGATTTTCCCCATCTTGCATGCTCTCTTGCCCTATGCCTTCTGCCTTCTTCATAAGCTGCCAGCTCTGTGTCCCTGGACTTTCCAGCCTATAGAACAGAGAATGAAATAGCCTTCTTTTGTAGATGAATTACCCAGCCTCAGGTAGTCTGCTGTAGCAACAGAAAACAGACTATTATTATCATCATTGTTTACTGGTAAAGAACTGGGGTTGAGATGGTTTATTGTATCCCAAATTCATAAAGAGAACTTGTGGGGACTCTGGGATGTAACCACAATGCCCTGCTGGTTTTGCTCCCACTAGTTCCCCGAATCGTGCCTCCATTCTGCTCTTATCACTGCCCCTGCCTCACCTGCCTTAGCCCACCCTAAAATGCCTGCTGCCAACCCACACCTGCCTAAATCCAGACCCGGCCTCAACTCCCCCCAGAAACCTCCTAACCGCAGAAGGTTCCACCACACCCACCTTCTCTGAGAGCCACCACAGTCATCATCATGGACCCCAGCATCTCACTACACTGCTCACTCTCTGTTGACTTGGTCGGGTGCTCTGTTTATGGATTTCCTGGCTCTGGGGCTTGGCGATGCTGCGGAGTCTAAACCCCAGCCTTGCCCCTTAAGTAGTTCTGTAGCCTTGGGCAGGTTACTCAACCTCTTTAAGTCTATTTCCTTAGCTGTCAGTTAGAGATAAAAGGGTTATTGTCAAGATTAGACAAGAACATGCCTGGCACATAAAAGGCATTGGTGTAATTACAGTTGCTTTTTATTAATAGTCCCGTGACAGACGATGCATGGGCAAAGCTCAGATGCAATGGGCACTCAAAGAATATTCTCAGACTTGATTCCTTGAGCATTTCGATGGCTGTAGACAACAGTGTGGTATTCAGTTCTCACAGTCTTAAAATTATTGCAATTATCTTATTGCATTTAAAACAAACATGTGAATGAGGATACACTGCCATGGCAAGCATCACATAGGGGATCTCCAAACCAGGGCAGGAGCCAGAGGCAGGGCTGCCAGTCATAGCAAACAGCAAGTCCTACCCAGCAGTCCTTGGGAGAGGAAGCCCCTGCTCATCCCATGGTGGGGGGGGAATGTGGTGGGGGGCGGGAATGTGAGGCCCAGGCAGACAACTCCCCAGCCTGACCGGTCCTATCAGGTCAGCTCTATGCAAGGAGATGAGGAGTGAGGAAGAGAAGCAGGTGAGGCTTCAGACTGCAAGTCTGTTCTAGGTGGAGTACAGCTCAGTGGCTGAGTAAGCACTCACCTAGTGCATACAAGATCCTGGGCTTCTTTCCCCAGCAATGCAAAAACTAATAATTGGAATTTTGGCCACGTTTCCCTTCAATGCTGTTTCCAGCTGTCAGTCCCACTAAGCACTCCCTACATTCTGCCCTCAGAAGACTGGGACCCCTTGGCAATGCAGAGAACCTACGCTGTCTCTCTCCTCCTCCTCCACAGCTCCTTCAAAGCCAGCTGCCCACCAGCTGCCCCTAGAGGTACTGGCTGTATGGGTGGTGGGGGTGTTTGTTTGTTTGTTTGTTTTTGTTGCTTTTTTTTTTGAGACAGGGTCTGGCTGTGTAGCCCAGGCTGACCTTGAAGTCATGGTAATCCTCCTGTCCCAACCTCTAGACTGCTGGAATCACAGATGTGCACCAACATGCCCATCAAGATCTTAAGCACTTACAAAGCACTTACAAAGGAAAAAAGAGCCTTAACCCTACACCTCCCACAAAAATAAGGTAAAATAAAACTATCAAAGGGGAAAAATTTTGTAGAGACAGAAAGCTGATATTTCAGTGACAGGTATCTAAAACAAACATCTACTTTGGTTGTATTTTTTTTCATATACACACGTTAGCAAAAAGCAAGAAGAGACTTCTACACAGGACAAACCTGGGGACAGAAAAGGGAAAGGTCCCAGGTGGGGCCCTGGCACTGAAGAGCCAGGACAGGTAGCAGAGGAGCTGAAGGGACGCAAGAGAGGCAAAAGCCAGACAGGGCAAGAAGGCACCCAGTGCCACATCCTCCTGGAGCCCCAGCCTGCAGGTGGCACTGTACAGGTGACCCTTAAGAACAAGTACCAGGCTCAGAGGCAGCTGGGCAGCTGGCCCAAGCTCCTGCACACCAAGACCAGCAGAGCTGGCTGCATGGAGAGGAGAGCGGGGAATATGAGAATGGAGAAGGCAGGCTTTGCAGGTAACCCTGCCCACAGGACCGCAGAGAGTGCCCTGGAGCAGGTGGCCTGCCACCCACTCCCCAAGCAGGGCGGTAGGTAGCAGACATCTCTGCCTCATTTGTGGTCCCTGCACCCCATTCCTGTTTGAATATGGGGGCCTTCCCAGAAGGCACACTGCCCTGCTGATGCTGCCTTGCTGACCTGAGGGGAGCTAGCATTGAAGACAATTACCATTTGTTATGCACTGTGAATGACTTACTGACCACAGCCCTGGCAACTGACTTACTTTCTTCTTTTTAATGGGGATTTAAAGCCCCCAATCTCAAGCACACAGAGACTCCAAGGAAGGATGGCAGGAAGAGTCAAACCCCAAGCACGTCTCAGGCTTTCAAACTGCACAGGCTGTGTGCTTGGGGAAATGTCACTGCTTGGCTGAGAACATACATAGCACTGGCAGGCAGGGAGAGGCAGAGAGCAGGAACTGAATTTAGGAATGACTGGAAGGTCGACAAGAGAGGGGAGCCAAGAGGGGAGCCAAGGCACAGGGTATATGCATAGCAATGAGGAATGCAGCAAGCCTGGCTCAGCACCTCGAGCATCCCCCAAGCCGCTGGGCTTCGAGAAGAAATAGCAGGTCCATGCTGTCTCTGCAGGATGAGACCACAGCAGATTCCTCCCTAATTCCAAACAGTGTGTCTGCAGAGCTCCACACTCGGAACATCGTTCTGCAACCCCCACTGACACCAACCCCTTTGCATACCTGTACACATACACATCTGCACAGTCACACAAGACCTCCCCAGCCTCCGAGGCTTGCTCCTGCCTCCATCCTCAGGCAAGTGTCTTCCTGTCCAACAATACTGACCTTCATCCTCTTGCCACTTAGGGCTCTTCCCCACTCCCCAGAATTCCTGATAATCTGAACCAAGTGTAGATGTAGCCTTTGATGCCATCTTAGTTGGTTTTCTAGTAACTGAGACAAAGTATTCCACACCTAAAATTAAAGGAGGAAAGGTTTATTTGGTTCACAGTTTGTGTTGGTTTCAGTCTATAATCAGCTGGATCCAAGGCAGGATAGTATTGCAGAGAGGCATCACAGAGGAGAAATCATTCATGTCAGGCAGAAGCCAGCAAAAGCAAGTAAGCGACCAGCAGCAACACAGCAGCTCTTTCTGTTTCTGATGTCTAATCTGGGCTACCATTTGGACAGGTAGCACTCATACCCTTATCCTCTCATGGGCAAATCAATCCCAGCATCACATCCTTGATCCCAGCAGTGCTCACCCTAGCTCCAGTCACCTCCAAAAAGCCCCAGTGAGGACCACATGAGGCTTTAGGGGACATCCAAACCCAAGCCATAACAGATTTTAATCTGTGCTTGCATCATTTCTGGAGGTTAAGGACATTTTGTTTTTCCTACTGACGGTGGCCTCCCCCAAGCTCAGGGACACTGCCACTTGCTCTTCCTGTGCCAGCCTTCATGTCCAGCACACAACTAAGCATAGTCATGAACGTGGGGCTGACTCGACTGTGAACCTTCTTTTCCAGCCCAGACACCACAGACTTGCATGACTAGAGAGAGTCTAGGGCCCCAGGAGACATACACCCTTCCCTCCTCCTCCCGTCTTGGGATCAAAGATTTTTGTCCATGTATTTCTTTCCGCAAGCAAAGCTGTTTCACAGAGAGGCCATTCCTTTCCAGTCTGGTCAAACTGAAACTTCTTTGCCTAAAGCTTCCTCACATCTGGTGGCCCAGAGTTGCCATTTCATATCAAAAGATGTCAAAAGCTCTGTATAAAAAACCCCAGCACATATATGAGATTGGAGCAGCAGAATTTAGCTTACTTAACTATGGTAAAGTCTGGTTAAGGAGACTACAGCTGTTTACCCAAGAAGTAAATATCTCTGAGCTCTGGAGGAAGGCAAGACTTGCCTGGCAATTTTACTATCTTGCAAGGGAAAAAAGGAGAGGAGAAAAGGGAGATAAAAGATGAAAGGTGACAATCTCTAAAGTTGGGATCACTCTCATGTTGTAGCACAAGCCAGGAATAAAAGGCAACCACTCTCACAGGCTCCCTGAGAGCTGGCCTGCTCAAATCGGGAGCCATCCTCTACTGCCTTCTCGACACAAGAGTCAAGGGCCACGTTCATGGGGAGATAAATGTTCCAGGCAGGAAAAAATGGGGGTGTTTCCATGGAAAGAAATGGGCAACATCAGAAGGCTGTCATGTCTCCTCTCTTCTAGAATATAGTTTTATGTTTAGACTCCAATAACCTCATAACCAGGGCAAACTTCTAAACTCTAAAAGAGAAATTCTCAATGGTGAGCAAGATGGTACAGCAGGAAATGAGCATATCATCCAAAAAGAAATCAGAAGTAGGGAGGAGCATGAAATTTGAAAAACAATATTTTGTAATTTGCATTAAAGATTTTTAAAATGCTTATGGACTATCAATTGCAGCAAGTGATGCCCAGTAAAATCTCCTTAGATGATGTGATGTGAACTACCGTTTTAAAGAAAAAAAATCTTAGAAAACACTAATTGTACACTGTCTTCTCCATTTCACAGGCAACTGAGACCCAGAGAAGGAAAGTGACCGACACAAGATCACACAGCTGCTTTTTAATCAAACTGGAAAGAGAAACAAAATCACAGATATCTGCATTACAGCAGAATTAATCTTCTTACACCTTTCGCCTTTTGGGGGCTGCCATGACAAAGAGCTTCACCCCAGGTTGCCACTCCTGGCCCCGGCCTGGAGTTCTGACCACCTGAGCACAACCCAAAGCCAGAGCTCTCCAACGAGGTGTCACAACATCACGTGGAAAACCGCGATCTCTGACTCACAGACTGGATTTGTTGCCTGGGTGACTCAGAACACTGCTTAACCTCTCAGAGCCTCCATGCAGTGGATACTGTGATGGTAAATTTTGATCCTTGATTGTGCACTTGATCAGACTGGGACACAGCTAGGGAATTAGTGGATACACTTCTGGGTGTGTGTGATAAGAGTACGTTTCCAGACACAACTGGTGTGTGCAAGGCTGGCACGCAGGAGACTCATCCTGAATGCAGGTGGCATCCAGTGGAATGGGATCAGGACAGAATGACAGCAGAAGAAGGAAGAAGCCCATCACGACAGCTCTCGCTCTCGGGGTGAGCAGGTTTCCTCTGCCCCACCCTGCCACGTGACGTTCCACCTCGCCACAGGCCTGACACCAACAGAGCCAGCTGGCAGTGGTCTGAAACCACCAGCCAAGATAAATGTCTCCTCCTTTGTGCTGTTTTCCTCAGGTATTTTGTCACAGTAACAGAAAACTAACATTGGTACCCACCTGGCAAGGCCACCTCACTGAACTGTCAGACACAAATGAAACTAACATGCATGCTATTTAGCAAACAGCTCATTTTTTCTAGCTTCTCCAGCATCATTCCTGAGTCCTTGACTACAAAATATCAATGACACCTCCTGAGATCATCTAATGCTCATT